CCCTTCCCCTCTTGGGTGGCTGTGGGGGCTCCCCGCTCCCCTCTGGCCTCACCTGTGCCCCCCTGCCTTTGCTCTGCAGGTGGGAACCTCAGTTTCCCCTACTCCCCCGGGCTGGCCTACAACAGCATCTACTCGCCCGGCCCCCACCCTGTGGGGGGCTACCAGGGGGGTGTGCAGATGAAGGGCCCCGAGGTGGAGGGGCCTGGGAGCGACAGGCAGGAGCCTGCGGAGAGCACCTACTGCAAGGAGCTGCAGAGGCACGGTAGGAGGAGGCTGGGCTGGAGCGAGGGCTGAGGGGACATCGCTTGGGAGAGGGGGCATGGGTCGGGGACCTTTTGGGGCCAGGCGCTGCTCTCTTCCATGCTTTGAGGGATGCGGAGGGTGGAATGTGGCTGCTGCTCCTGGAGGTGACATCCTGCTTCCCCCCCAGCTCAGCTGTGCCAGCTGTGGATGCTGGCACTGGCCCGTCGCAATGCCCATGCCTTGCTCGACTACTCGGTCACCGCCGACCCCCGCATGCTGCTGGCGGTCCAGAGGCACCTGGCCGCCTCGCAGGACGAGAACGGAGACACGTGAGCGCACAAGGGGTTTGGGGGGAGAGTGAGGGAGCCTTGTTGTTGGCCATCAGAGCCGTTATGGGGGCTCCGCGGGGGGTGGGAGGTGGCAGGGAGGAGCAGGAGAAGCATGGAGCTGAGCCAGGGGCCATCCTGCTCTCTCCACAGGCCTTTGCACCTTGCTATTATCCATGAGCAGACGGCTGTGATCAAGCAGCTGATCGAGGTCATTGTTAGCATCCCCAGCCAGCAGATCATCAACATCACCAACAACCTGCAGCAGGTACGCATTTGCAGGAGCAGGTGGTTCTCTTTTACCTGGGCTTCGCTCCTGTTTGCCCACCCCATTGCTGCTCCTGCTGCAGGGAAGGCTGCAGGGCTGAGCACGGTGACACCACGGTGTGGCCGTGCTGGCAAGGATGCTGCTGTGGGACTCGGCACCTCCTGCGACCGCTGCTGAGGAGGTGTTGCTCTCCCGCAGACGCCGCTGCACCTGGCAGTCATCACCAAGCAGCCCCAAGTGGTCCAGCTCCTGCTGCAAGCCCGTGCCGACCCCACTATGCTGGACCGCTACGGCAATTCCCTGCTGCACCTGGCGCTCCAGGCTGGCGATGAAGAGATGCTGAGGACGCTGCTGGCACACATGGGCTCGGCTGCCCCTTACCTGCTCCGCCTGCCCAATTTCCATGGTGAGCGGGGCTGGGAGACGATGGGCAGAAGCTCGGCGGTGCCATTGTGGGCTCGGCCGGAGGGCTGCTGAGCCTCTCCCCCTCTTGCAGGCCTCCTGCCTGTGCACTTGGCCGTGAAGGCAAAGAGTTTGGCCTGCCTGGACCTGCTGGTCAGGAAGGGAGCGGACGTGAATGCGGTGGAGAGGCAGGGTGGGAGGACCCCGCTGCACCTCGCCGTGGAGATGGAGAACCTGAACATGGCCACCCACCTGGTGAAGAAGGTACGGCGGGGCTGCTGGGTTGGTGGCTGTGGGACATGGATGTGGCTCAGCCTCCCACAGGGCACTGGCAAAAGTGCGGGGGTCTCCTGTGGTCTTAGAGTGATGGGGTGGGGGGGCAGTGCCCCGGCAGCCCATCTCCATGGCCTCGCATCTTTCTCCATAGCTGGGAGCAGATTTCGACAGCCGGACCTTTGCTGGAAACACCCCCCTGCACCTGGCCGCCGGCCTGGGCTCCCCCACCCTCACCAAACTGCTCCTCAAAGCTGGTAAGGTGCTGCCCTCCCTCCTCTCCTTTCCCCTCCCTGCAGCCCTGGGGGGTGCCCAGGCACAGGGCAGACCCCTGGGCCGACCTGCCCTTTTGGGGGTTCAGTCCACCCTTCCCTGACAGGGGCAAATGCGCTGTGCGAGAACGATGAGCCCGTGAGCCCATCCTCATCGGAGGCCAGCAGCGACACGGACGCCGACCCCGAGGAGCAGGAGCTGGCCATGGAGCTGGGGGAGCCGGCCCGGGCCGTGGAGCACGGCACCAACCCTGAGCCCCCCACGCAGGGGCACGGGCAGGGAGGGCACAGGCAGCGCCGCTGCCACACGGCCCTGGACCTGACTCGAAGCCAGAAGGTACAAACCCCCCTGGGTTC